GGCGACGCGTCGTAAATCCGCGTCGGTTCCTCGCCAAAGGCGGCAGCCGCTTATCGGCGTTCTCCGTCTGAAAAGTACCGTCAATGTGTCAGAAGGCGACAAGTAAGAGTCGCTCCAACGTGGATGACTGATCTTCATGGGAATGACTTGCCTTTTTTGCTGGGCCATAATGCCTGTAAACTCAGCAATGCTTTGGTTGGTGAAAACTTTAGGGGCCCCAGACATGACCCCTGAAAAATCACTCCGTTGGACCAACGCCATTGGGCAGACACGTCTGTCATAGCAGGACCAGAGTCTCAAGGGCCCATGTTTGAAACTGGACATGAAGTCAGCCATTTTGGTTGGAAGCAGCAATTTCGGGTTTGGTGAGCTCCGATTCATGGTGGACTCTTCCGAGCGATTGGCTCAAAAGAACCCCAGTTGGAATCATGCAGAATGTTGCTGCACATCTATATGGTCATGCAACTCCATGAGCTGGATTACGGCCTCACTTGGCTCCAATGCGCGCTGACTAGACTCGTAAAATCTAAATTTGCACTTCTGGCTCTGCCCTGCTACCTCATTTATGTACTTAAACCAGTGTTTGGGCCCAGTGGCCCTTGTACATCACATCCTGTAGACTTGGGCCCCCTGGCTCCTTATATTAAGACAACAGTCTCAAACTTGGGTCTTAAAATGGACAGTGATTTTGACTTGGACCAGCAAATTGGTGCCCTTGTTCAATCCAGCTTCTTTCATTTTAGGCAGCTGGCGAAAGTCAAGCCTCTCCTTTCTCATGAGCACTTTGAAACAGTAACTCATGCCTTCGTCACATCCCGGCTGGATTACTGTAATACACTTTAGTTTGCAATCACCCAATCCTCCATGAAGCGTCTCCAGTTGGTCCAGAATGCTGCTGCTCACCTCTTGACTGGTACTTGGAAGAGGGAGCGCATCACTCCTATTCTGGCATCCCTTCACTGGCTCCCGATACATTTTAGAGTTCTTTTTAAGAGCCTATTTGTTTTCAAATCTTTAAATGGGTTTACTGTTTTTGTGCTTCCTCCTGTCTTTGTTACTAATTATTAGTTTTATTGTTTCTTGTTGTATATTTATTGGCTGGCGACCAGTCCAGGGTTTGCCCCACCACTCGCCCAAAGTCCTTTGACTCAGGCTGCGGTGGTTGTTGCTAGAAATACAGTTGAGCTACCACCTGCCAGACACATGCATGTTGAAGACCGTCTACGTTGTCCAGGAGTCACAATGTGTG